TTTTCCGGATCGCACTGCTGCTGCTACGGAACGGGATTGAAGTTGACCAGTTACTTCAGGATGCATTATGTGTAATTCCAGCAGCGTCATATTCGGCATCAGTTGCCCCTAGCTACCATGTAACAACGCGTTGTCGTTTTGAGATCCACGCCTGTTTCCACTGTACACTCAGCCCTTTCAGAATTGCTGTATTTTTTGTTTGGGCGTATAACTGTGAGTTTAAGACTGGCATGATTACATTGCTGAAATGAGATGAATTTGAAATTCTGATCAAATTTTGTTATATATTCGTTTTGAAAAAAATTAAGGGCCAAGAAAGTGTGTACATTTAGTGGATCAAGTTACCTACCGCCTGCAAATACCCATCACTGTTCATTAGTCCATTCTATTGCTTTTTCTCTTTTTTAGGTCACTTTTCAGTCATTATCACGTATAATCATTTATTATCATGTAATTTCATTTGTTTGCGCATTTTGGTATTGTGAATTTGTCACACAACTCAACATGAATTATTGCGGGATCTTCCAGGTCCCTTTTTTTCTCACTTAAAATACCACCAAAGTGCCTCTTAGTCTTTTTCGGTGCGAAGGAATTCAGAACGAGGGTAGTAGCGGCTGCGGTTTGGTATAGTCCGGGCTAAATTTGTTATGACTAATTTCTCGAAATACATTGCAAATTTAGCTATATCGGAAGAGTAGGAGAGGAAGCGTTACTGCATACATTATGGTTTTTTAAGCGTTTTGTGCAAGTACAAAGCCTCATTTGTTATTATATGTTTGATGATGTGTCACGTTCCTCCAGCTGTTAGCCCCAGTAGCGCATTCTCTCCTGGACAATCAAGTTTGAGAGGAAAACACTAAAGAAAATCCAAGTGTAATTTGGAGACTTGAGGCATTTTTTTCACGAGTTATGCAGGACTTTCTCATTTTTAGTAAGTTCTTATAGTTGTGAGTTGGTATACGTCCAATTCTTTATTAAGTTTTTTTCGTTTTCTCGGCAAAAAAAGTACGAAAAAACTTGTCGTCCATTGAATCGGTTTCTCGCAGTGTTTCATTTGTCCTCGTATTTTATCGAATTCTCTCAGAAGTGCAATATTGGATTACCAGATTGTCTCCTTGTCTCCCCTGCCAGCAAGTTTTTCCCTTCATTCTTGATCACGTTTGGAACCATTTGCTACAAGTATACCTTAGATGAAAAACATGATCGCGACAATTTCTTATTTCATTTCGATTGCTTTGAATATATTTTACCGCGCGGCGCCGTGCCACTTTTCCATATTCAGATTGGTTGTTTTGGTTGCTGCTTCAGCGGCTGCTTTATTCATTTTTCATGAATAGGAAGTATTTTACTCAGAAAATCTTCACGTATCTGTTGTTCACTGTGGATTCATGCTATTGTTCCTTTTTTTTCCATAAATTAGTGGAATCACTTTTATTTGCATGATCAGCAACAGGTTCTTCCTGTTTACTACAAACGCAAGGGACAAAATCCTTTGTCGTATCAAAGATGAATTTAAGGTCTTTATATCGCATATGGACAGAGAACTTCTTCGTGAAACTTACTTTTTTTTCAGCTTCTCGAGTTGCTGAGTTAAAAGTGGGTGAAAGAAAAAACCCGAACATAGCAACACAAACATTTGAGTTTATAAAAGGCTCAACGTGCTGTGGGAGTACAAGCGCTTAAAAACAAGATAGTAACGCTCAGTGCATGCCACAGAATCTCCAGGTAGCTGAAGTCTTGTTGCACTCCTTTCGGGAGGCGTAAGAAATGCCAGGATTGCTAGAAAGTTGACCAAAAGGCAATGCAGCATTGGTCAAAACAATTATGAAATGAAGAAAGAAAATGGCATGGAGCCACCAGTGAAGCTGTGTTGAATTAGTAGCCGTTTCAAGTGTCGGATGTCAATTTATCATGTCATATGAATTATGGGAATTTGTTTGAGCATGCTACAATATTACTACCAATGAGGGTGGATGGGGAGACTGGTCGTTTTGCTTGTTCGCTTCGCCCTTGTTCAGTTTGAGTTATTCACTACTTTTTCGCTAAAATCAGTTCAATTTGCAGCTGTGATTGCAATTTAATGCTTACAATCGGAAGTCTAGTGTCAAAAGTGGAGAAAGGGTAAGAAGTGGCAAACCCTCAAATAATATAATTTATAATGTAAGCGCTGGAGCGAAGCAGATGGGCAATTGCTACAACTCGGCTCGGCTCGCCTCAGCCTCATGAAACATTGGTTCCGGCACTAATGCGTCACCACGGCTTTAATGGTTGTCGTTTCTCCGGCTGTTTGGGTGGTGCCACCGGACCCCCTTCCCCACCAACCATTCCCCCAGATAGACACTGCCCAACGCTCGGAGTAACGTTCCCCATCACCAGCAGCAGTTCTCGCGTTTAGTACAACAACCCAGTCAAGCCAACCCGAGTCGAATTATAGCAGTTGTAAAGCAGGTTTCTTTATTCGTTTGTTCCCTTCTCAGCACCCACCAGCCGTTACTAGTAGTGCTGCATGAAGCCCAATTTGCTATTCAGAAACGACACTGCATTTTATGCCTAACTTCCTCGTAAGGGAACTGTCAAATTTAATGATTTTCTAGACACAGTGGCAAGCAGGGACGACTGTATATGATTTGTATTATCATCCAATTTGATTCTAATGTCTTCCAGTTAAGTGCCAGTTTCCTTCTTCCCTATTTTATACTATTTTGCTAAATGATGGCAAAAATGATTGTCTGTGTTTATGCTGTAATTGTGAACTACCAGAGCCTGAGGCTGAGTGATAGCAGTGAATAAATGAGGAAACCGTAGGTTGCACTTATAAAATTTGTATGAATTTGAGAAAATGGGTCAGAACACTGGCACTTGGAAATTGACAGCACACTTTTTGCTTCGTATGGGTTCCTTCTCAAGTTTCGAGCTAAAAATTTTCTTGGTTTGAGCCATGAGATTGTGGGTCAAAAATTCCAGCTTTCTAGCTTTTCTGGCTCCTGAGTTTGCAACTTACTGGAAAAAACTTTCACGGGCCCGCACGTGGGTACCACGCATACTCGATGTCTGGGTTTAAACTCGTTGAGACTAATGTGGAGGGGGAATATCCTCTTAAAACTACAGTCTTCTGGCTTTTTAGGTTTTCGGGCTAGCAACTTACCCGAGAAAAACTTTGATGAGCCCGTGCGTAGGTACCACACTTATCCGGGATTGGGTTCAAACTCATTACCTACTTGGACGGGGAACATCCCCCTAAGATTTCAGCTTCCTAGCTTCTCAGATTCCTGGGTTATCAACCTACCCGAAAAAAAGTTTCATGGGCCCATACTTGGGTACCACGCTTATCCGGGGACTGGGTTTGGGCTCATTAACACCTACTTGAATGGAAAGCATCGCTGTAAGATTTCAGCTTTCTAGCTTCTCAGACCCCCGAGTTATAAACTTGTCCGGAAAAAACTTTGACGGGCCCGTACGCGGGTACCACGCCTACCCGGGGGTTGGGTTTGAGCCCATTAGCGCCTACTTGGACGGGAAACATTCCCTTAAAATTTCAGCTTTCTAGCATATCAGAACCCCGTGCTATGAATTTACGCGGGAAAAATCTTGGCGGACCCGTACGCGGGTAACAGCTTACCGAGGGTTGAGTTTGAGCTCATTATTACCTACTTGGACGGGAACATTTCCTTAAAATTTCAGCTCTCAAGCTTTTCTGGTTCGCGGGTTAGCAGCTTACTCGTGAAAATATTTTGACGGGTTCGTACGCGAGTACCACGTTTACCCGGGGGTTGGGTTTGGGCGCGTTAGTACCTACTTGGATAGGGAACATTGCCATAAAATTTCAGCTTTCTAGCTTTTCTGGTTCACGAGTTAGCAGCTTACTCGTAATAAACTTTGGCGGGCTCTTACGTGGGCACCACGCGGGAAAAACCGCCCATTTTGGGGATGGAGACTCGTACGTGCATGTTGATTAAGTCCCCAAAACCTCAGCCCTGTAGCTTTTGTAGAGATGAAAAATCGCATAGAAGCCCTGCGTGCGCGCACACACAAACACACACACAGATACGCACACATTCACACATACACACACACACACACACACACACACACAGAAATCTCTCGTCAATATGTGTTTTTCGCATTGCATAACTGCAAAAAACGCATAACAATGGTCTCGGAAGTACGGAAATTCTGACTTTGCTAAAGTACTACTTACTGGTTGCGATCTATTCCATCCGTTACGTCATACACTGCGGAAATCCCTTAGCTTGCTTCATTGACTTTAGCAGCAATATCACGATGACGTACAGACCCCTTACGTGGCGCGGGGCGGGGGGAGTCGGTAATCAAGCGTGGATAGGAGGTCATTATCCTAAAATTTCAGCTTCCTAGTCTCCGTGGTTCCCGAGATGATAATTTACCCGTCAACAATTTTCACGGGGCCGTACATGTTACCCGCGAACAGGGGAAAACTGAATTTAAATTTCCTGGCTAGCACATGGCGGGGAACGTGCCCACAAAATTTCAGCCTTCTAGCTTTCATGGTTCTCGTGATAATAATTTTACCCGCCCAGACTTTTACGGGGCCGTACGACTTACCCGCGGGTACGGAGAGGCTAAATTTAAGTTTGCGAGGTCGCACGTGGGTGGGGAACGTTCCCCTAAATTTTCAGTTCCCTAGCTTTTGTAGTTCCCGACTCGAAAGTTGCGAACAAATTGCTG